CATCTATGTAAAAAACAACCATAACACACACACACACACACACACACACACACACACACACACACACACACACACAGAAAAAGCTACCCTTGAAACATAAACATTTTTTTTATTAGAGTTTGGGGATTGAGTTTTTTATCCCTTTTTTCTCTTTTGCTTTCCCTTGGTGCTATATCTATGAGTAATAAATTAAAAAGAATAGATCCTACACTAAAATGGATTTCCTGCTTAGGTAACTTTGATCATTTCATTGGAAAAAAAAAAAAAAAGAATTTGTACAGAGGGTAGCCGCTGTAGAAAAAGCTACATTTGGACACAACTTATTCACTGCCTACTTCATTCAACAGGTATACTCTATACGGAAAGCTATGTATAACCTACATGTTGGGTTTATGGAATGGCTAAGGGAACAGTGGATTAAAATGGTCAGATCTGTGTTTTAATCAGATAGTTTACATTGCTAAATGTTATTCTGAGTCTTTGCTTTATTTTTTTTTTAAAAAAAGGCTAGTACTACACTAGCTTTGAAAAGGCAAAGAGTTTATCAAAAGCATTTGCTGCCTAAAGCTACCTGATTCTGTGTGCAAAACCCTCAGAATTTTCTTTTCACAAGATTAATGTTAAGTCTGGAAGGTGTTGTAAAGAGTGTGAGAGGGAACAAAAAGGTCAACGTGGCAATGCCAATTAGCTGGTTTGATTTCTGGGCCAAATTCCAGGCTGCACCGAATCCACAATCCTCGCTGGCAATTCCTCCTCCCTTGTCTGTTTCCCTTCTTGCAGCACTCTGGTGTGAAGGGTAGGCTCAGCCACAGCTTCTCCTTGCAGAATTGTTTAAAAGTGTACCATCTTGCTTCTTCAGTGTTGATGTTGTCTCCAAAATGGAAATAATTGAAAACCTAAGAAGATAAAGGAGATAACTTCTCTGGCAAAGTCTTAAACGGTTTTTTTGTTTTTTTGTTTTTTTTTTTTTTTTTTTTTAGGGTGGGGGTGGTTCTCTGTGACATTTTGTTTTTGACTGAGCTCCTAGGGAATATTGGGAACATTGTACATGAGGTTGGAAATTGCCCTGTCCAAGATTAGCTACAGGGTCATCCAAAGGAGTTTCGCTATTCATTCACAAATTTTCTCTAGAATTAATCTTTCATTGGGTTTGGTCTTTTTTTATGAGCTGGTACAGTAGAGTTTAAATAATTGAAAGTACCATGTCACTTAATTTCACAGTTACTGGGAGCCTACTAGTTGCCAGATTCTGCCTTAAATGCCATGAGGTTCAAATATCTGGAATGTGCAAATCCTTCCTGGACAGCTCGTGGTGTGGTATGGAGAGAAGTCTTGAGTAAAATACCAGGTTGCATATACAGAATAGCAGTTAGGAAGTTTAGTGGTGGTGAGGACGAACTGTAAAAACTCTTTTCTAGGAATACATTAAGGACATGGCAAATATATTTACTGAAGATATTACTGAAATACACAGATATGAGGTATGTTTGAGACATAGCAATGTCTCTAATCTAGAGAAATTCACAAATTCTATTATGTGAAACATTCCAGATATAGGTGTTTGGCATTGAATTTGAGACACCACTTGGGATGTTGCCTCCTATATATTTTTTTTTTTATTACAAAGCCAAATATACAGAGAGGGTGAGAGACAGAGAGGAAGATCTTCCATCCATTGATTCACTCCCCAAGTGGCCACAATGGTTGGAGTTGCACCGATCTGAAGCCAGGAGCCTTTTCCGGGTCTCCCATGTGGGTACAGGGTCCCAAGGCTTTGGACCGTCCTCGACTGCTTTTCCAGGCCACAAGCAGGGAGCTGGATGGGAAGCGGGGCTGCCGGGATTACAACCGGCCCCCATATGGGTTCCCAACATGTATAGGGTGAGTGCTTTAGCTGCTATGCTACTGCGCTAGGCCCTGCCTTCTATATTTGAGGGCTATGAGTTCAGATCTCTCCTCCAGTCTGCTCTGGCTTCCTGCTGGGAAAACCTCTGGAGGTAGCAGTGGCGACTGAGGTACTTGTGTCCCTGTCATCTCTGACATCCATCTATATGGGAAACCTAGATTGAGTTCCTGGCTCTTGGTTTGGCCTGGCCCAGCTGCAGCTGTTGAAGGCATTTGAAAAGAGAACCAGTGGTGTGGAGAAATCTCAACATTTCTCTCTCTCTCTCTTGCTCTTCCAAAATAAATAAATATAGTGAAGCATTAAAAAAATCTATTTCACATAGTGCGTAACATACACAAATGTCATTCACAAAGAAGCATTCTTGAAAATTAAATTAAGTGCATATATGAAAAACCGTTTCACCTAAGAAATAGTTTTAAAGGAAGGGACTGGGTATTTTGATTAAACTGATGTGCTGTCATAGGCTAGATTAACAGTTCTCAAAGAATGACTTAAGGACCCTGGGAATCCAGGGACCTACAAGGTCAAATTTACTTGTGCAACAAGACCGAGATGTTATTTGTCCTTTTCACTGTGTTGGCTTTTGCATCAGTGGTAGAAAAATCAGAGGAAAGTACAACTATTGACCGTACTGAAGAAATCAATGTGGTGGTGAAGAAGCCATACTAGTACCCATTCAGATCTTCCCTAGAGAATGCCTGTAGAAAAGTAAAAGGCAGTTTCCTCTAAGGATATCATTGCTAAAATTACATTTTAAAAAATACTTTTATTTAGCCTCAATGCTTGGATGCAATTTTTGAATATCCTGTTTTAAAATGGGAAGGACACTTGAAGTGCTTATGCTATAAAATGTGTCTCAGCCTACGTCTCAGTGGTAAAGTCTTTGAGATGATCTGAGCTGTGAGCTACACTGGACTCTCTGCTTGAGAGAATGACTGACAAACTATGATTATACAAGCTTGAGTGTTTGCAAGGCATCTTCTTGGAAAGGAACAAGAAAACCTGTCAGCTCAAAGAAAACAACTGGCAGCATTGCCAGTGATTAAAATTGGATCTTTCAAGAGAAAATAAACTTTTTGAGAACTTACATTTGGCACCATGAACTTGAGAATGTTCCAACACTTAGATATTTGTGATGAGGTTGTATATGGTATTAATGTGAATTTTTTATATAGTGAAAGATGTCTGTATTTTAAGGCCTGTGTAGCTTCAAGAAACAAAACATTCCAAATGATACATGCATAATAATAGGAAAATGAGTAAAAGGCTCAAAGTCCAAAGTATACCAACGGATTATATTATAACAGAGTAATAAGTGTTAATTTACACCATTTCGGATTCTTCATTCTTACAGCTACTTGTGGAGTTTTTAGGAATTATCAAAGTAAAAGCTTATAATTATCTGAAAATGCTACTAAAATACTTCGTCATTTTCCCACTATATGTCTGTGGGAAGCTGGATTTTCTGTGAATATTTCAACAAAAACCAAATATCACAACAGATTAGAAAACAGATATGATAATCTGGCTGTTATATTAAGCCAAAGATGAGATTTATGAAAATATGAAATAACTGTGTTCTTCCTACTAACTTTTATTTCTGAATATATGTATTCTTCATTCTAACATATTATGTTGGGCTGTGTGTGTTTGACCTAGTGGTACCAATAGGTTTGACCTAGCTGGTTTGGATCGCTCGTTTATACCTGATTCCAGCTCCCTGCTAATATAAATCCCAGAAATAAACAGGGCAAGCTCAGGTAGTCTGGTTCCTGCTATCTATGTGGAAGACCTGGATCGAGTTCTGAGCTTCTGGTAGCTTTGGTCCAACTGTTGCGTGCATTTAGGCAGTGAGCCATCAGATAAAGAGTTTTCTGTCTGTGTCTGCCTCTCTCTGTAAGTCAAGATGTAAGGAATAAATAAAATGTGCGTGAACACATCACAGGTTGGTTAGTGTCATGCTTAAATGAGCTATCAAGTATTTACATTTTAATGTCTCATAATATCTAAGATGGAAAATGTCGATAAATAAGACTTCCACCAAAAACAAAAAGTATTCTCTGTGATCCTCAGGATATGTATAAAGGAGACCTGAGAACTGATACTAAAACATCTGAGTGGCATCAAGATAACCTGTGATTATAGACTGTAATTGCGTTGTGAGTGGCAGAGGAGGTGAAAGCGTTAGAGAAAGCACTGGAGTGACAACATGGCAATAGTACTAGAGAGGAAGACAATAGGTGTGTTGGCTTCTCCAACTGTATTACAGACATTTGGCAAGGAAAAAACATTTTTGTGCTTTTCATTCTTTGCTTACCAAAATAGGGGACTTACTACTATTTGGTGCAGTGGTCAAGATTCAGTATCCCAGTGTCTGGGTTGGGCCTTGGCTCCGTTTCTGATCCAGCTTCCTGATATTGCTCCTGGAAGCAGCAAATGAAGGCTCAAGTGCTTGGGTCATTGTCACCCCCATGGGAGACCCGGATTGAGTCCTGCATTGCTAGCCTCAGTCTGGTCCAGCTTGGGCTCTTCCAAGCCCAGCGGATGGAAGGTCTCTGTTTCTTTGTCTCTCTAATAAAATGTAAAACAAATAAATTTAAAGAAAAAGACAAACATGTAAAATGGTAATGCTGTTCTCTTTATTGGTGAGGAAGCTTGGTTGTTCTAATTCAATGGTTGTAAATATGGTTACGGGAGTTTTCATACACGTATTTTCTCATCTTGGTATCCTTGCTGTTGATGTGCTTTGCCTATTGTGTTTTAAGTTCTTCATCAGTGAGTTTTCCTACCATGGTGACTTTCTGGCACTTCAAATGCCCTTCTATCAGACTGTCTAATGTGCTATACAGTATGTGGGTACTGCACCTTGTGAGTAGAGTGAAGGAGGGAGAGTCAAGTGAATGCTGTCAAAGGATACAGAAGTGTGAAACCCTTCCGAGTAAAAGTAGCTCACACATGTTTAAAGGATTTCCAAGAGTCTAAAGTTCACTCAGAGTTTTTTGGTTTTTTTTTTTTTTCATGCTTCCTGTTAGCTATTCTAATGGTTGCCTGAGAAACATGGAGAGCTGCTACAATCCATATGATTTTCTTTCAGCTCCTGAGAACCATGTCTGTGCCCAAAGGAAGAATTCTGGAGAAAACCCTGGAGGAGGAAGAGCTGGAAAGTGGAGACTGTGGCGACGATGAGGACGAATGCATCGGAGGCTCTGGTGATGGAATGATGAAAGTGAAGAACCAGCTCCGCTTCCTTGCAGGTAATCCATTCTTGCTGGTGCAAAGCCAGGCTAAAATGATGCTGTTCCGACACTTACAAATCAGTTAACTCTGCTCTCTATAAAACTCCTCTAAAGATTCTTGCAACATATAATGGCATTGTAGAATTTCAAGGAAACACTGTATTCTACAAAAGTGAAGTTTTTGAGATAGCTTTTTAAAAACTCTCTAGCCCTATGTAGATTCATGTGGTTACGTCTACTCATTGTCTAATGTGAACCTACATAATCCATGGGAATTGTTTGCCACTGGAGACTCATTTGATTCTTCTCAGTTTTAAAAAAGAGTACAAAGGAAGAAGTGCAGTCTGGAGTGTTTTGAGAAACACAGTGATGAGAAAACTTTTGAAAGAAAAATGTTTTCTTCTTAGAACATCAAGTCCCCTGTTTTCTCAGAAGCAGCCTAACCTGGATAGGCTGTGACCCATAACCACAGAGCTACATAAAAGCAGTACTCACAATAGAAAAGTTATATAGGGCTACAAAGGTCACAAAGGTGCAACAACACCGCCATCAGATTTGTATGGCACATTAGCATTTACAAAGTACTTCTCTATTAATAGTTATTCTCCCTTTATACCTAGCGCTCAGAAGAAATGAAATTTCTCTAAAATGAAAGAAAAGCGCCTCTTGCTGGCATCTTGAGACTCCTGGTACCATGCTGTTTCCTGTAGTACACAGCCTTCTGCTTGGTCTGCCATCACTTATGTCCCCGGAGACAGTATCTGCTCGTACCTGTTTTGCAACCTCTTTCCTTCACTAGCACTTCTTCCTAATCCTATCCTGGCACTTGCTCTCATCCAGACGCTTCATAAGCCTCTGCCCTCTTTTCTCGAGAAAATGCAGATCTTGTCCAATCTCTCTCTTTTACCTTTTATTTTATGACTTGCTTAAGTTCTCTTTTCCATGAAGTCAGCAACATAGACTATGAAATCTGTTCCTCCTTTTTTTTTTATGATTTATTCATTTGAAAGGCAGAAAGAGATAAAGAGAGAGAGAGAGAGATCTGCTAACAGGGTGGGCCAAGCCAAAGGTAAGAGCCAGGAACTATCTGCATCTCCCTTGTGCGTGGCAAGATTTCAAGTATGTGGGTCAACATTAGCACAGTGTCTTCAAGTTTCTTCCACATGTTGCATATGTCAGGATTTCCTTTTATTAGAGCTGAACAATGTTCCATTATTTGTATATATTTCAATTTCTTTGTGTGTTCATCTGTCTATGAACATTTAGATTGATTTCACCTCCCAACTTCTGTACTATAAGAAAAAAATGATAGATTACAAGAAACATTATTTATTATGCCACTATGGGACTTTTACCAGTTCCTACTGCTATCCCTAGCCACCATCCCACATCTCCAGCTGCCTGTTAATTATTTCTCCTTGGCTTCAGCACCATTATCCCCAGCTTGATTTGTCACGCATCGAATTTAACAAACAATTCCAGATTGACTTGTTCCTTAATATTCTTATTTTTCTAACGTCACCATTATTCTCCCTGCCACTGAGGCATGAATCTAGGGTCACATTTGATTCTCCCTTACCCTTAATATGCAATTGGTTCATAAATCCCTGTCCATTCTTTCTGTACTATTTTTTTTCTGCTTTGTCACTTCTTCCTGTCTAATCCAGTTTCCTGAATATCCTATTGCAGTTACATCCTAAGTGGTTTCCAGTTTTTTCTGGCTAAGGTAGGAGCATTGAGAGCCTTAGGCTAGCCGATTCAAGAACAATAAATCTCAGCAGAAGATTTCATCAACGTCATCTTGCACAACTGCCATGTTAATCCTTCTAAAGCATCGAACCTATCCCCAGCTCAGCTGCCATCATCCTATTTCCATTGCCTTGGGATGAAGCTAATATTCCGTAGAAGAGTCCTCTGGTCCAACCCAAACTATACTATGAACCTGTTTTGCTGCCACTAGCCCTGCAAGGAATGGTGCATATTGGTATCAGCCATGTTTATGCTCTCATGAACCCCCTGAACATACTATTCTTACTTGTATTTTCATACCAGTGTCCGTGTCTATTTCTTTGTAGATATGCCAATTGTCATGCTTCAAAGTGAGATTCAAGTTTGATGCAGTAAGAAGAAAATGGGCTTGGAGATAGAGTAAACCTGTATATGAATTGTGATTCTTTTGAGCTAATGTGACCTTGGATATGTTTCGTAGCCTCTTCTATTAGACTCTATTCCCTCATCCATCAGAAGGGAATCATAACCCCGACTTCACGGGATGATTATAGACTTTGATAGAGGGGGAAATCTATAAAGTGTCTCACTCAACTTGTAGCACACCAGGGGTCTTCAGTGAATTCATGAAAGAGTGTTTGGCAATAGCTTGTGAGGTGCCCACATTCTGTGTCAGAATGCCTGGATTTTATGTAAAAACAAAAAAAAGGTAAAAATAATAGGAGCTAATGCTTATTTAGACACTGTATTCCGAACAGTGTGCTAGAACTTTGCATTGTCCCCCCATGTCATTTTCACATCAGTGTGAAATAGGGGTTATTCTTCTTTTTACTTCACAGTTCATAGGTAAGGAAGCTGAGGCTGCGAGAGGCAGCGTAACCTGCTTCAGGTCATGATCACTAAGGGCAGAGTTAGGCATTAGATCCAGGTATCAGTTTGCAGAAGCCAGTTCTTAAGCAAGTCTATTCAGACACTTCTCTGCTAATCAGTACATTTTTTAAAAAGCTTCAAGTTGGCTTTTCCAATTTTGCCACTTTTAAACATCCCTAAGCCCCAAAATTGGACATAAGACAATTTCAGAGTGGAATAATCAACTGGTAAAAGTCTATCCAAATATTCCCAAATCCTAAAATCTCCAAAATCTGTAACCCTCTGGGTCCAAGCATTTCAGATAAATAATACTAAACTTCTGTGTGGAAAACTTAGGGTCATCACTGTTCATACTTATCCATGACATTCCTCACTTATTCCTACTTATGCCATCCTGCCTATAAGCCCCTTGGAGCCGTTTCAACAGTATTCCATAAATTCATGGTGTTTTCAACTTTCACGTGTGCTTGGTATGCCACCTTGCATCTCTGATTTCCTTTGTCCACATGCACGGTTTTTCTCTCAAAGATTTCTAGTCCATTTCTTAAGCATGAATAACCCTGCATGCTTTGTAGACTCAAAGCTAAAGAAACGGTGGTTTATTTCATTGTCAGGAACCTGACTCCTTGCTCCCCACCCCCAGTACATTACATTTGCCTAACTTGTTCAGTGATCCTACCTGCCTGAACTTCCTTGGGTCTCCTTTAAAAATGCTTCTCATGGAGAGGAGACTTATTATTAATCTGTCAGACACATGGCACAGTATCTGTTTGGAACAACAACAAGCTGTACAGCTCGGTCAGCTATTATATAATTGTATCCAACATCTGAGTAGATGCCATCTGGTACTGATAATTTATCAGCATCCATTTATTTAGTCAGCAAGACTTGGAATACCTTGTGCACTTACTACCTTCACACTTCATACTCCAAACTTCTTCACCAGATGACTTGGAAATAAAGCACGTATGTTAGAATGTGATCAGAATTTCTTGTATTACTCATTTATCACTAAACAATCTTTTATTTTATAGTGATATTTAGGGTTATTACTTCAAGCATCTAACGAACTACTGAATTACCCAGTCGCAAACTTTGAGGATGTATAAGAGCTTCAAAACTGTGATCCATGTGATTGATTTGGATCCTTGGATTCCAATGCTAGTATATTAACTAATAGTGGAACCTTGAGTAAGTTATTGAGCTTTCCTGAGCCTCAGGTTCCCCAGGTGAAAAATGAACATAATCATCCTTGCTTTGCCTGCTTCAATGAGTTTTTGTGAAAACTCAACCTACTAATGAATGTGCAAGTGCTTTGTTAATGATATGTTTTGTTTGAAAGGCAAACCAATGGTGGTTGTTGAGGCAGGAGAGACAAAAAATAGAGGTTTTCCATCTACCAGTCCTAATGGCCAAAGCTGAGCTAGACTGAAACTTCCATGCAGATCTCCCACATAGGTGATAACAGCCCAAGTTCTTGGTCCATCTCCTACTGCCTTTTCAGGCATATTAGCAAGAAGCTGTGTTGGAAGTTGTGCAGTCAGAACTGCACAGTCAGAACTGAACTGCAAGTAATGGTTTAACCCACCACGACATTAGCCATTTGAGTACTTTTTAACCTGCTAAGTTGACAAAAGTTCAAAATAGCCAGGAAGTCACAATAATCATCCTTAATATTATAATTTTTATTAAATCTATGGAAGCTTTTTAGCTTTCTCAGCAATCCCAGCTTCAGCAGAGATTTAATTTGGATCAAGCATGTGAACATCCAGGTACAAATTCCCCTTCAGAAATTAAAAAGAATGAAATCCTACGATTTCTGTCTTATGATTGTTGCTTTTAGCTGTTGTTTATACTCCTATGGAACTGGGTTCTTCCTAATTTTTTGTTGGATATGTGATCAGTGATGAATTAAGCCTGTGCTTATGGAGGGTATTGAAATGATGTCTTTGCAAAGATTGAAAAAACAAAAGGGAAGGAAGGAAGTAGGGAGATTGAGGGAGGGAGAGATGGGAGGGAAGCATAGTTTCCATTTTGAACTGTACCTATGAAATACATAAAATCTGTGTTCTTTTCATTAAAATTTAAGGGAACAGATCTTCATTTGTGATGAACCTAGTGCATTAAGTTGAGTTTCTTTTTACTAGGCTGCTATCAGCAGTGTTGCTAGTAAAATGGCTTTCATGAAGCTCTTCTAAGCTATTTATTAGCCACTCCTAGTGCTTTAGCTGGGGTTGATCCCTGAGATATTTTGCAAGATCTGGCCAGCTGTCCCCAGAAAGAACTGATGACTCAGCCTCCTAAGCATCTGCCTTTTCCCCACCAAGTCTCCACTCTTACCTGAGCAAAAAATACACACACTCCTCTTGTTGGAAACACAGTTAAAACATGTACTCAACAGGCTACCCACAACAAGAAAC